GTCGTATGCAAGGTGCTCTCTGCACTTTGTTTGACTGAAGCGTTGTGTTGTAGGGCCTGCAGAGTCGGGAGCATCGTCGCATGGCTTTGAGGATGCACAGCTGTGACGACTGAGACCTTGAATGCGGAGCATCTCAACTCTATTGATACGCTATTGGATCTGAAGAAGCCTTCGACGTCCACTTGTGGTGGAGGGATGAGATGCAACTGACCATCAAATGCTGAAAGGCCTTTGGCCTGTTGTTGAACCACTCTCTGACCAAGTCGCGCATGCATGGTTCTCTGCGTGTCCTTCATGATTTGCAGCAAATCCGGAAGCATGTCGTATGCAAGGTGCTCTCTGCACTTTGTTTGACTGAAGCGTTGTGTTGTAGGGCCTGCAGAGTCGGGAGCATCGTCGCATGGCTTTGAGGATGCACAGCTGTGACGACCGAGACCTTGAATGCGGAGCATCTCAACTCTATTGATACGCTATTGGATCTGAAGAAGCCTTCGACGTCCACTTGTTTCTTGTGGAGGGAATTTGTGGAGGGAATTCGCAGGCCTTGTTGAGTTGGATCATGTTGCAGAGGATTGGCATTGCGTCGTGCGTCGTCTGTCTTACTGTTGGTTAGCAGGGAATGAGGCAACTGAGGCCCTATACATGCAATTCAAGGGATTACATAGGGCACCTCATTCCCCATTCCCTGCTAACCAACAGTAAGTCAAACGCCACACCATGGATGGCATTGGCGCGAGCGCTTCTTTCATTGCGGGGAAGCAGCTTCGGATGTTCATGTGCCACTGTCGCATCGAAAAATCATGATGGCTTCGCAGTATTTTACTTTACTAATATGTTACTCTGATTGTACTAATACACAATTCTGTGCCTACATTGGCTGTGTCATTATGAACTATGAACTTTAACGCCGCAACACTGCACAGCTTGGCTTTCTGGCTTTGCCCAGGCGAGCTGCGGGTCTGCCCCCGGCCCTGCATGCAAGATGCCTTCTGCATCTGCAGCCGCGGTCCTGGTTTCAGGCGGAGGAATAGGGTTTAGGGTTTAGGGTTTAGGGTTTAGGGTTTAGGGTTTAGGGTTTAGGGACTCCTGGACTCTGAGCTCTGGAGAGCTCTCTGAATGTTTCATGAGGGGGGCCTGTGGAGCCTTGCAAAGGTCCGAAGATCTGCCAATTCCCGTGGAGGCCGACCATGGTGTCATCGGTGCGACAGAACATCCCAGAAGCATCAGAGCTTTGCCTCACAAGCTTCTGGAATGTTGCCTCCAGGCTTTCGTGACGAGCTCTTCTGTCGTGTGCCAGTTGCAGGCAGGAGGCATAGATTCTTGAGGGAGCGCACACTGCCAGCTTCCTCCCCTGCCTTAAGCCCTAACACTGGACTGAGCCCCCCAAAAACCCCAAATCCTTGAACTTCATCCCCAAGAGCCATGAGCCTCCCCTACCTTCAGCCCTAACACTACACAAAACCTCCCCAAAAACCCAAAACCCTGAACCCTGAACCCTAAACCCTGAACCCTAAACCCTAAACCCTAAACCCTGAACCCTGAACCCTAAACCCTGAACCCTAAACCCTAAACCCTAAACCCTAAACCCTAAACCCTAAACCCTAAACCGCAAGAGCCATGAGACTTTCCAGGGTGTCAGCCATGCCTTGGAGAAGCTGCGTGGAGCCTCTTCGCGGTGCTGGCCTGTCAAGTCTTCGGTCTTGTTCATTTAGGGTTTAGGGTTTAGGGTTTAGGGTTTTCTTATACTCGTTCTCAGGAGGAGTTAGGGAAGTAGATTCCGACTATGGCCTTGGCATTCTCTGTCAACCAGGCTTTGGTACCGTAGCGCTGCGTCGGAGTAGGTTAAGGGACGCCCTTCTGCGACAGAGAATCCGAGAGTTCAGGCTGCTTCGTGCACTTGGCATTTCAAACCCTAAACCCTAAACCCTAAACCCTAAACCCTAAACCCTTCGTGCCAGGCAGATGATGGGTCTGTCGGTTTCCTTTCATGAGAACCTGGAGTGGTCGGTGTTCATGCCTCAGTCGTATGCAGGGGGCCTCCGAAATGTCCTTCTAAGTACCCTAAACGAGGTATAACGGGGTTTAGGGTTTAGGGTTTAGGGTTTATAGGTTATACCTTCTTTAAGGCACCTACCCTGCGCATATGTGCCCTGCGAGGCCGGTACCGGATGCTATGCAGGTGGAAGTCGTGGATGCGTGACCCGTCTCAAATGTTTTGAGGCACCTTCGTTTTAGGGTTTAGGGTTAGGGCACTTGCCACTGAGGCCACGCAAAGAGTGCATTTTGCTTCCATCATGTACATACCCTCAATCTGACAAACAGCTTTGTGTTTTTGTCTTTTTTCAAAAGTGTCCATGCAGAGGCCAGAGATTGTGGGCTGGTCACCTTCTGTGGCTGCAAGGGTCTGAGGCCAAGAGAGGTTGATGACTTGGGGCTTCAAATGCTTCACCATGAAAGCTAAGGTTTTAGGAAGTTCAGGGGGTTGCCTTTCAAATCCCAAGCTGCCTGAATCCCCAGCGAAGCCCGAGGACAACTTGGACTCGAGGTCACAGCTCAAGGCCGGGCGTGCAAAGAAAAGGAGATGTAAAAAAATATGGGTCTTGGTAGGTAGCTGCAATGTGCTAATATGTACATGTGTAGATGTTTGTGCGTGTACTGAAATGTATGTACGTTCGTATGTGAGTATGGATGTATGTATGTGCATGTCTGTGTGTGTACGCATATGTACATGTACATGTATGCGTATGTGAATGTGTATGTTTGCATGTATATGTTACATTTGCACATGCATATGGGTGTGTGCGTGTGTTCATGTCCTGCTATGTGCACATATAGGCGCGTGTTAGTCTATCCGTATGTACCGCTTCTAGTTGGGTAAGAGCGTTTCTGAGAGTCTTACCCAAAACCCTAAACCCTGAACCCTCAACCCTAAACCCTTAACCCTAAACCCTCAACCCTAAACCCTAAACCCTAAACCTTGGGCGTCAGACTTGGACAAGGAGGCTTTGTGGCCACGTTGCCAGGTGCTAGTGGAGCTGGCTACTCCCGCGGTGCGAACTTCGCCTGGAGCCCTGAATGGCCGAAGGCCCCCTTTGTTTAGGGTTTAGGGTTTAGGGTTCAGGGTTCAGGGTTTAGGGTTTAGGGTTAACTTCATCTGAGCTGCTGCAGAGCCTTGCTAAGGTATCTGCACTGGTACTGTGCCTGGAGTCTGATGGAGGCTCGATGGCTTTGCCTGTCTTGGTTATATTGTACACACGTATTATGCAGAAATGTATTCTACATATGTTCAAGTACATAGTAATATGTCTTTTTTTACATATGTATATATACATATATGTATATATACATATATATATATATATATATGTATATACAGATATAAGCCAGCATTCAGTGAGCGTATCTTTTGATGTCTGTCGTGTTGGCACCAGGGCTCAGACCCTGTCTTTGTGTCTACGTCCCGGCTCATGTACTTCAATGCGCAGGGGCCCGAGCATGCTGCTGCCCCACTTGGCTTCAAACTCGTTTTCGCTCTGACTCCGTGGGGGGAGTGGGGGGTGTCGTCCCTTCTCACAGGTCATTCGTCACCTGCCCACTGAACTTCCGAAACTACAGGAACTTGCACGAGGCGGGTGCTGGGAGCCTCGACTCCCACACTTACGGGTACTAGTACGCGTGCAGGTGTTAGTGGGCCCCTCCGAACGCCTTTTGGGGGTACGTGCGTTACCAGAAAAAACTCCCCCCCCCCTCGCCCCATCTGCTCGAAAACCCGAAAGCCCTCAAACCCACCAGCCCAATCCCTCACCAGCTGGCGCAGGTGTCTGCCTACCCTTCTTTTCAGCTGTATCTGGCGCTTGGTGCGGTGCCATTGGCGGGGCATGAGGTGCCATTCTCAGCTGGCTCATAGCCCCAAGCCCCAAACCCCAAACTTCCCCGGACCCTTAACCCTCCGAACCTAGATGCCCCTAGAAGGGGTGGTGGCCTTACTTTAGGGTTTAGGGAACCTTTTGCCTTCGAGCTGCAGGCTTGCCCTTGTAAACCCTCTCAGCCTGCAACCCGAAAATCCCCAACATCCCGTTTAGGGTTTAGGGTTTAGGGTTTAGGGTTTAGGGTTTAGGGTTTAGGGTTTAGGTTTAGGGCTTGTGCTGCGAGGCACACCTGAGCTTTGCCAGTCGAGCCGCGGAGGCTCTTGGCCTGGCAAAGACCCCCGTCACGGCAGGGGGCCAATTGTTGGGATGTTCCCCCAAAATTCTAACGGTCCTTGGTGGGGTGTAGGGTTTAGGGTTTAGGGTTTAGGGTTTAGGATTTAGGGTTTAGGGCTTAGGGTTTATAGGGTTTAGGGTTTAGGGTAGTAGGGATTACAATGGGGGGGGGGGTGCTGTAATCCCTATCAAGGGCTGTTAGCACACACAAGGGGGAACATTTCGGGGGCCGATGGTGTTTCGCTGCTCTTTGTTGTCTTGACTTTCCTTTGTACTCAGGGGAGTTTCGGTTTCGTGGGGGGTTGGGTTTTGACGGGATTCTTGCTGTGTTAGTGTAGGGTTTCAACAGGGCTTTCCGGGCCTGCGGAGTTTAGGGCCGTCGGCTTTTAGGGCTTTCAGCCCTTTTTTGTTTGGGGTTCACGCGTCTGCGTTGTCTTTCCCCCAGGTCCCTTTGCAACCCTCGGTGCCACGAACCATAAGGCTTTTCTGTGCTAAGATGGGTGGGGGGTTGGGGGGCGTCCTGGTAGTCTGTGCCTTGCAGCAGTTTCTGTAGGGTATTCTGCAGGCACCGAGGAGGCTGGCGAGAGTTGCTGTGAGTCAGAGGTTTGCCAAGAACCGTGAGGTGGTTCGGCTTGCAAGAGCGGGCTTCGGGAAATCGGATGCTGCATGCGACACCCTGCTGTCCTCGGCCCTTTAAAAGCTCAAGGCAGCCAAGGATGCTTGAAGAGCATAATGATGCTGTGGGTCTGCCGGCTCCTGTGCATTTGCACGCCATGGCTCGTCGCGGGCACAGAGCAGATGCTGTTTTGGGTGGACGACCTCATTTCTCAGACCCGGGTCGCTTGTCTTACAAATAATAATAAGAATTATACTAATAAGAATAACAGTAATAACAATAATCAGAATCAGAATCAGAATCATCATCAGAATCATCATCATCATCATCATCATCATCATCATCATCATCATCATCATCATGATGTCTGCCCATAGCTTGCAAGGCTTTGATTTCAAGTTGCCTAGAAGCCGATGTTTCAGCAAACCCTAAACCCTAAACCCTATAAACCCTAAACCCTAAACCCTAAACCCTAAACCTTAAACCCTAAACCCTAAACCCTAAGCCCTAAGGTTGAGTCCAAGCTGTGGATGATGACGGGCGAGGATGCCTCGCTTGGCACTCGCAAAGTCCAATACGATGACTTCGCTTACTGCTTGGAAGCCCACGGCCACTGAGCTTAAGGTCCGAAGTTCTTCTTTAGGGTTTAGGGTTTAGGGTTTAGGGTTTGGGGTTTAGGGTTTCAGGGTTTAAGGTTAAGGAGTGTCAAGCAAATCCCCCCCTCTCATGAATTCATCTTCCGAGCGTTCAAAGTGTTGAGGTACCTTGGATGGCTCTGTCTGCAAGCCGCAGCCTGGCGTCAACTGGTGTGCTCACGTATGTCAGGGTACTCTTAAGCTCTGGAAACCCTAAACCCTAAACCCTAAACCCTAAACCCTAAACAGCCGGAAGCCAGAGGAGCTACTTGATCAATGGATGGAACTCAACGGATGGGACCTCCCTGGCCGAGAGGAAGACGCTGTCCGTAGCCTACGACCCGGCAGGGGAAGGAGATGGTCCCCTCCCCAGCTGACAGAAGTCTCGCTTTTTGGTAGGGGAACCTAGAGGGCCTTTATAAGGTTATATACATATATATGTATGTATGTATGTATGTATGTATGTATATATATATATGTATACGTATATATATATATATATATATGTATATTTATTTTGTTTTTAAGGATCTTCCAGTTGTGCTGAGGTGAGCACGTGGTGGGACCAGTGGCCGACAAGACCAACCGTCGAATCTACTGGATTACCCCTTCCTGTGCCACTTCGTCCAGCCGGCGCTTGGCGGTGTGGAAGGCAGGCTGCGTTGAAAAAGTGTTTCCGATATCCGGGGTACCTTACTGGGGTCCTTGTGAATAAGGGAATCCTAGTATTTGGGGGACTATGTGAGGGGTTCCCCTGTATTCGTAAACCCTCATTTCCTCGATTGGTGAAGCTCAGCATGTGCAGCTCTCACCTGAGGTCAAGTATCTGCTGGACAACCAAATCACTCCGGACGGATCGGACGCAAATCCATTGACCTGCGCAAACGAGTCGTATGTCTACGCAGTGAACCGGTACGATGTGGACACGAAGAAGTACTCCCTCATTTATGCGGCTGCTCGTGCCGACTTTCCTGCGCCTGAGAAGTGGACGGCGTACAGCTGGAAAATCGCCTTTGACGAAGCCAGGCAGCGTCTATATTGGTGGTACTACGCTGGTGCATGTGCGGTGGCCAGAACTTGCGATGCTCCTCTCTACTACATCGATGTCAGTGGTTTGACTGATGATGGTGCCATGCCGACTCCTGTGTCGGCAGCAAACATAACGGACGGTTATGGTCATGCAACTTGGCTGCATGCCAGTGCCATGGCATCATTGTTGATGAAGCTTGACGTGCTGTATGTGCTGCAGTCGCGGAAGATGCCCAAACCCGCCTGAAGATCCCAATGAATGTAGTGCCCAAGGCCTACTGGGATATGACCATTGATGACGATGGCAACGTTTACATGGTTGATTGGTACAAGATCAGGAAGTACAGCGTCGGTACGGGAACTGTGTCCGTTCTCCACACCGAAGATTACCTTAATACAGGATGGCAGTTCTATGGAGTGACCCACTGGACAGGCACAACAAAGCTGATCCTAACCAAAAGCAACGTGGTGACCTCGAAGCTGTGGATTTTCGACACCAGCGATTCTTCATGGACGGAGTTCTACAGCGCAGTCTACTACGAGTTCTACAATCTAGGCCCCGGATCGAAAATCCGAAAGCAGCCATCAGCAGCACTTCGTCCTCGGAGTGCTATAGAAGACTCGCACACATGAGTTTAGCCGGCAAGGCCAGACGCTCTACAACTCGGCGGTGGATGTCACCCACGGCCTCCTGCATCACGGCTGCAGGGGATTTCGAAGGGTGGTTGCCCGTGCTTGCAAAGTGGCGGAGAGTAGTTGCTCCAGCCGACCTTCCAACCCTAAACCCTAAACCCTAAACCCTAAACCCTAAACCCTAAACCCTAAACCCTAAACCCTAAACCCTCTAAGGTACGTGGCCACAAGTGGTGGGAATTCTGGGGCTCGATCCATCATCGAGCTGCCCTTGGCGCCGACCGGCCAGACAATGCCGTACAAGGCCCCCCTCCGAGAATGGCAGCTCATGCCTAGACATCCTTTATTATTATTATTATTGTTGTTATTATTATTGTTATTATTATTATTGTTATTATTATTATAGACAAGTACTGCCAAGGTGTGCAGGAGTCTCCTGGTCTTGCATCCATGCAGGGAAGGTTTCATGTTTTTGCAGGCCTGCGCCACGGGACGCTTTAGTCTCGACTGTCCCCTCTACGGCAACGGGGAACGCTTGGTTGTGGGCCACATGTGCCCTGGACTTGAACTCAGGGTTTAAGCTCACCAGGGCATCTGAGCAGTATCGGGTAGCAGCCCACCCTAAGCCCTGAATCCGAAACCCGAAACCCTAAACCCTAAACCCCAAACCCTGAACCCCTAAACCCTAAACCCTAAACCCTAAACCCTAAACCCTAAACCCTAAACCCTAAACTTGACCCCAGGCCTTCTGCCTTCTCGGTGGCCGGAGCCGGCAAGGCCGCCAACTTCGCTGCCGGAACCGCTGACCGATTCCCTGCCTGGGGGACATCCCAGTCCCTTGGTCGTTTAGGGTTTGGGGTTTCGGGTTTCGGGTTTAGGGTTCAGGGTTTAGAGTTCTGGGTTTGGAGTTTAGGGTTTAAGATTTTGGGGTCTCCTGGAGTTGTTCATGTAGGGTTTCTCGAGGAAGTGTGTGTGTGTGTGTGTATGGTGGAGAATGTGGGCTGTCCGTGGCCGAACCGTGCTGATGTTCGCACGCGATACTTTCTTTTTTGTCGGTTCCTGCCATGTGCTGCGCATGTTGGCTGCACCCTGCCTGCTTGCAAGGATTGCGGTTCTGCCAGCGACTGGCACGTATCCCACCAGGACGCAGCAGCACTTTGTGTTCTGAACCTCTCATCCAGACCTGGTTTGACCCACTAAGCAAAGTGGAAAGCCCAGTGGCAGGAACCCATGCTATGGCAAAGCACCCGCGAGCATCGACACGTTATCCGCCAAGCTCAAAGCCACGACCCGTACCCGATGCGGCAAGGAGAGCAGCTTCACAAAGAAGATCATCGAATTCGTGCAGTGCGCGTTTGTTGGTTTCCGAAGTTAGGAAGTAGCTTCTCGTCATTGTAAGGTTCCTGTGGTTCTGGGGCCCCAAATAGGGGTCCTTTACCCACAACTTGCTTGACAGGACGAGACGACCGGCTTTGACACGAGGCAGGTGTGTGAGGGAATATCCCTGGCATTCTGGGTAAAGGCATGACGCAGCTTAAACCCTAAACCCTAAACCCTAAACCCTAAACCCTAAACCCGAAACCCAGCTGGGGGCGGAGCACATTCCCAGGCACATAATCTTCAGCATCGATGCTGGCGACAAAGCCCCAAACTACCTGATGCGTGACTACATCGGGATGGAGGGCCTTGCGAGATCCGCCGATGGCGGCTGGGGGTATGACTACATAGGCCCGCAAGCCTAGCAAACCCAGTGTATTTGCCATGGTTCCGGGTTGCAGTGACAGAGTTCTTGCCAGCACTGCTGCGCGCGCCATGCGCAGCAGTGTGGCGCTGGTGCCCCTGTTAGAGCATCTTACGGGAGGAGAGAGTCTTGAGATGCCGCTAGAGCCTTGCAAGAACCACCGTTCCAGACACGCCTGTTTTCCAGACCTACACACGTGTTTCGCAGAGAGGACGCTTCAAGTCGACCCGTTTTGTGAGGCCAGCGACGAGCCTATGACAAGTACCAAGAAATTGCCACCGGCGGTGGCAACGATGGCGTCATCCCAGGAATCAAGAGCGAGTGGGGATATGGAATTGCGGTCAAAGGGCCCGCAGTCGATTTCGTCCATGGCTACCTGGAAGCGTAGTCGAGTCTTCGTACCTGGCCTTGTGCGTCCCTAAGCCCTAAGCCCTAGATCCTAAGCCCTAAGCCCTAAATCCTAAGCCCCAAGAACTAAACCCCATGCAGGTTATGTCTATTGGATGTCGTGCGAGCGTGCGGCCTTGCCCGGGGTCTGCTCGGAACATGCACTCAAGCGAGTGCCTTTGACAACGCAATGGTGGTTGTGCCGAGTTGTACCACTCCTGCAAGTGTGCATCCTCGCACATTCTTTTGCATTGGCATTCGCAAGAAGAATCACAGTCATAAGAAACAGAATCATAACCTAACCGCTAACGCGAAGCCGCCTCGGCAAGGGTACCGTTCACGTGTCGTAAGGGGGTGGGGGGGGGCACACTAGAATCACGATCATAGGGTGGGTGGGTTGGAGGAAGGGAGGCGAGGTGGAGAAAGGGAAGGGGTGGGATGGGGGGGGGGGGGGGGTAGGACGAAAGGTATCGGAGGGATGGGTTCAAAAATGTCCGCCCAGTATGCCTGGCCCAAGATCCTCCTTGGTCCTGCTGGTCAGCTAGGGGGGGTACTGGTACCCATTTCGTGCGGGGTTGGGAGGTGGGCAACCTGTCTAAGGTTGCCTGGATCTAAACGCCTCAGGCCGCCGGCCTCGGCGGATAGTAATCGAAATAGTCTTAGTCGTGAGTCATAGCCATAAGAATCCAAGTCACAAGAATCGTCATACTCACAATACCCATCCTGGCAATACTCAATCGTAAGACTCACATTCATCATCAGAGTCAAAAGAAGCAGAACAGTAACAAGTGAGTGCAATTTAGACTACTGCTTTAAGCACTTTAAAATACATATCTTCTTCCACAACCTTAAAAACTACGATGCTCACCTAGTAGTATCTCACTTTGACAGGCTAAATACCGAAAAGGATGAGGTGAATGTCATAGCACATAACAGCGAGAAGTTCATTTCCTTTGAACTGAAACAGATGGTGTTTAAGGACAGTTTTACTTTCTTATCTTCTTCATTCGACAAACTCGTTAAATGAACTAGACAGGAAAGAGATGATAACAGAGAAAACTGACACGAACACTTCACAAACAGCAAGTTAAATGGTTATGTTAAAGATGTCATAATTATGCAAACCATAGTCAGGATAACACATGTGGGGGTGTCCGAAAGTAGGGCGTGCCTTATTGGGGTCCCTATGATAAGGGGATCTTACTACTAGGGGGACTACATGAGGGGTCCCTTGTTTTCGGAAAGCCCCTTAACCCCCAAATGCCCAAACCCCCAAACCCCCAAACCCCTAAACCCCCAAACCCCCAAACCTCCAAACCCCCAAACCCCCGAACCCCCCAAACCCCCAAACCCCCAAACCCCCAAACCCGCCAACCCCCAAACCCCAAAACCCTAAACCCTAAACCCTAAACCCAGCAGTTCATGTGAAGATTCATCTCAAAGGGAGACAACGAAGGTGCCAATCTCCACCCTCGAGGCGGCGGCCAAGATGCCGGACCCTGTGGCGCCTGGGCCGACAGGTTCCAGTTGGTTAGGGTTTAGGGTTTAGGGTTTAGGGTTTAGGGTTTAGGGTTTGGGGTTTGGGGTTTAGGGTTTAGGGTTCAGGGTTTAGGGTTTAGGGTTTAGGGTTTGGTGGTTTAGAGTAATCGGGACTATAATAGGGGGGCACAAGAATCCCCATGAAGGACTGTTAGTATATCCTGAGTCCCCCAAGCCCTCCGAATCCATGAGCTTGAAGGAAGTCAGCGCACTCCAAACCCTGCAGGGCTCAAGGATGACTTTAGGGGGGTTTAAGGCTTAGGGTTTAGGGTTTAGGGTTTAGGGTTTAGGGTTTAGGGGCTCAAGGATGAGGCCTCCCCTGCACCCAGGACTGCTCGGTCTCCAGCTGCCCACACTCCGGCTCCACGCAGGTCTTGGATGACCGGTACGTCCCCTGGGCGCGCACATACTTTTCAGCCCCAAGGGCTTTATCGGATCACGGGGTTTCGTGCGATTTTTGTTATCCTTCCGAACTATCCGGTGGTGTTCTTCTTCTGTGCAGACATCCCCCCCTCTCCTCCCCTCCACGAGGCCGTGATCTCGGCGGCCGTGGAGGTTTTGTACAAGCAGACCACACAGCTCTTCCCTGGCAACGACGACACCGTCCCCCATCAAGTGAAGATCGCCATCGACCCGGACGCGGAGATCATCTACTGGTTCTCCCCGCAGCCCAGCACTGGCTACGTTTCCTTGCGCCTTGGACAGTAGAAAGCCTTCGAGTCTCAGTCCTATGGCGTACGAGGGTCTCTTTCATGTGGGTTGCGTTCAGCATTCGCGTGTCTGTTCAGTTACTTTAATTTGCATTGTGGCCGGTATATATCCATGTCTTTGCTGTAAGGCGGCACGCAGGGAGAGCCACTAAAACCGCATTGTGGTGCAAGGAAAACGCTAGGTTCGCGGTAGGTATAAAACAAACAGATGTTACATTCCCATGCTGTCACTGGCCAATTCCAGCAAGTGTTTTGTAAGGCTCTCCACACGCAATAAATTAGTCACTGTAGTTGGTTGGGTTAGCTGTCGGTAGTTCTGAAGACTTTTTCGCGTTACGCCTATTTCCAATGACTTTGTGATTCACTTGTCCTGGTGTTGATGCCCTGCGCGTTTGTCGCTCCAGTGCGCGCTCAGGCTGCCGGTCTTGTTTACGACTTCAACATGCCTTGGAGTGTTCTGGGTGAGCTCTCGGGGTGCTGTGGGACTTCTCTTGCGGGATACGATCAGATCGTGCAAACGCAAGTATTGCGTGCTGGCGCCGCGCTAGCTCGGCGCTAGCAAATTCCATCTCAACGCCACATACTCAAGAGAAAAAGGGCCCACATGCCACACGGATGTACAACATTGTGCAACCATGGGATTTGCAATCGTTGAATCGTGTGTGGCATCTTCTAAGCTACTGCAGGCAGTACGGCGCGCAGTGAGACTCCTCCCACAAAAGGACTGCCATTGCGAAGGGTGCCAATGCACGCCGGCGGGAATTGGACAGTTGGAAGTGAAACATGTGTGGTCGACAATTTGCCAGGGGACCCCAATGCAGCTGCAAAACGCTTGGAGAAACGGCTTGCGAATTACCGCAAGAAGCTTGCCGGAGCTCGAGCCCGGCAAGTGGCGACAGCGCAGAAATCTTCGCTCACGTCAAAGCTCCAGCAGTAGTATCACTAGCAGTGCTAGGAAATAGCGCCAGGATCCTTCAAATGCAGCGTTCGCTACTCCATCTGAATCAGCTTGTTTCCTTTGGGACATACTTGCGACACGCAAGTACTGCCGCAGTAATGTCAATTTCGCCAACAAGCATCTTGACAACAAACCATGGACATATTTATGCAAATGTTTCTATGCGTGTTGTATATGTCATGTGCATGCATGCGCGTAAGTAAGTAAAGTATGTATAAATCTATTATGCATGTAAGTAACTATGTATAAATCTATCTAGGTAGATAGTACAGACATGTATACACGGAGATCTTTTGGTAGTACAGGCATGTATGCACGGAGATCTTTCTTGGTTGTTTCATGCCATGTCAACCTTTCCTGACGCCCGAGGAAACCCTAAACCCTAAACCCTAAACCCTAAACCCTAAACCCTAAGCCCTAAGCCCTAAACCCTAAACCCTAAACCCTAAACGCTAAACCCTCAACCCTAAACCCTAAACCCTAAACCCGAATCCCTAAACCCTAAACCCTAAACGGAGGTTGTACCTGGACGTTTCGGGCTGGACCCCGAGCCAGGGAGTCTTCGAGCCCTGCGACGTCGGCGAGGTGGCGGGCCACTACGCCTATGGGTCCTGGCCCCTCGACATGGCACCGGCAACCTTAGGGTTGTTTAGGGTTTAGGGTTTAGGGTTTAGGGTTTAGGGTTTAGGGTACCCCAACCCTAAACCCTAAACATCTCTTTCTGAACCCTAAACACCCCTTTCTTGGGCTGAGGTACTCCCTGATTGTCGCTTGCGATGGCACACTCCTCAGCCATGAGGTGAATGCTCTCAGGGCCTTGGTCCTCTCCTCAGCCACATCACAGCCTTCGCTGAGAGCTGAGAGTGGGGAAGTGCACGCAACGAAGCCTCCTGCATTCCGCGCGAAGGACTTCACCAACGACACGCATGTGGCTTCCTGCAAAACGGAGGCCGCCCCCCGAAGCTTCTTCCGATGGCTTTCAGTGTGGGAGGTTTGAATACCTTAGGATGAGCCGCCAATGCCCCAAATAACCGCCGGAGGCCCAAAACCCGGATTCCCGGAGCCAAAAGGTCGAAGACACCCCCCGCCCAACGCCTGCGAAGCAGCCCCAAACATCCCCAAACCCCAGCTCCAAACCCCCCCCCCCCCAAAAAAAAAAAACCTGAGCCCCCTAAACCCCCTGAACCCCCTAAACCCTAAACCCTAAACCCTAAACCCTAAACCCTCAACCCTCAACCCTCAACCCTCAACCCTCAACCCTCAACCCTCAACCCTAAACCCTAAACTCTAAACCCTATACCCTAAACCTCACAGTACCTTGAGGCCGCTGTCTGGCCGACACTTGACGACAACAGCCGGACAAGTTGGAAGGGATGTTGGGACCGGCACCTTGGACACGAGGAGTGATGTTTAGGGTTTAGGAATAGGGTTTAGGGTTTAGGGTTTAGGGTTTAGGGGTGTTTAAGGGGTGTGCAAGGAGTGATGCGGGGTTTCGGGATGTTTAGGGTTTAGGGTGCTTTAAGGGGTGTTTAGGGTCTTAGGGGTTCCGGTCGTTGGGGGTTCAGGGTTGTGGGTGTTAGAGATTTAAATTTTCAACACAATTATGTAACATGTTTTTTGGGTGGGGCTGTGGTCTCAGATATAAGCCCAAGGGCATGTGTGGGGACTGCCAGCGCGACAATCCGTGCCAAGTTCTGAAGCCCTTTGCTGTCACGCAAGCCCAGAAGGTCAGAAGCAACTCAGCCCCCGCCTTCTGTGCTGGTGCTTGGGATGTCCCCCCCTTATGCTAAACAGCCCTTACTAGGGAATTGTCGTACCCCCCCCCTACTAGAATCCCCATTAGGGGCTTTTAACATGCTTAATGGGAATTATAGAACCCCACCCCCCCCCCCCCCCCTATTAGAATCCCCATTCGGGGCTGTTAGTAGAAGGGGGAGCATCCTCTAAAACCCCAGCAAACCCTCTAAAAACCCTGGGAATTATAGCACTCCGTACTAGAATCCGCATTCCGGGGCTGTTAGTAGGAGGGGGGAACAGGCTGAACATCCCAAGCCGGTGCTCAGGTACCTGGACACGGGAACTGTGTCAGCCACCGGGGCCAATGTTCTGAAGGCCAGGCTGCCGGCACACGCTGCCTAACTTGGGTTTTTGCAGGGTTCTGTAGGGCTTTATCGGTTTTTTAGGGCTTTATAGTTTTTTGGTTTTCATAGCTTTTATAGGATGTTCCCCCTTATACTAACAGTCCTTAGCAGGGATTATAATTGGGAGTACTAGAATCCTATTAAGGACTGTTAGTAAAGGGGGAACATCCCAATGCCAAACCACAAAGCTCTTGCTGCGTTTTTCCCGCGTGACTGCAGCAGCTCTGCATCTGGTGCACTTTAGGGTTTAGGGTTTAGGGTTTAGGGTCTAGGGTTTAGGGTTTAGGGTTTCGGGTTTAGTGCCTAGGGTTTCAAGAGTCCAGTTGGCCCTGCATGCCAGTCCATCGCCTACGACCCAAAGCGCGACCAGGTGGGGGACTCAGACTTTGGTTTAGGGTTTAGGGTTTAGGGTTTAGGGTTCAGGGTTCAGGGTCTTAGCTTCTATCCTCACGGAATCCTCCTCTCCAGGGAATCAGGGAATTCGGTACACGGTGACGTTCATAATCGCTTGAAGGGTTGATGTAGTGGGATGAGAAACGATACCGAGTTCCCTACCCGAAACCCTAAACCCCAAACCCTAAACCCTAAACCCTCAACCCTAAGCCCTAAGCCCTAAGCCCTAAGCCCTAAACCCCCCCAAAAAGGCATTAAGCCCCAGGTCTACTACGCCTTCCGGCGGAGCACCACACAGGAGTCCATCTCACGCTTCACCCGCTCCGCCGGCCCTAAAGGCCCAGGCCTGGATGAGGCCTGGACACAGCCTCGGTTGCTTAGGGTTCAGGGTTCAGGGTTTAGGGTTTAGGGTTTAGGGTTTGGGGTTTGGGGTTTAGGGTTTAGGGTTTGGGGTTTAGGGTTTAGGGTTTAGGGGTTCTACATTCAGCCGGTTCTCTCCTTCGGGGCTCGTTGTTCTAGCGGGTAAGAACGGTAAGAATACGAAGGACAGCAGCCATCCATCCATCCGGCCATCCAGTATCCCATTCATGGGTTTAGGGTTCAGGGTTTAGGGTTCAGGGTTTAGGGTTTAGGGTTTAGGGTTCGTTCTCTCTACATCTCTCTTATTGCCACTCCTCCTTACACCTCTCTCTTTCGTACCTCTGTTATTGTTTGCTTCGAACGTGCGCCAGCACGTCGCACAGACTTCGACAGGTGGTCTACTCCGGCATATTTTATGAGCGTGGCGCTGAGACTCCTTCAGGGGTTAGTTCCGGCCAGGACCCAGTGAACCGAATTTGAGCCTTGAGCCCCCAAAACGCGAGGCAAAGCGCAAGTTTCAGAGGTCTTCAAATTCAAGGGCATGTAGAAACCGAAGAGCGAACCAGGGTTTACCAATCTTTACCACCCTGACCAAGGTTTCCGCCACGGAACGACAAGGGCGCCGCCTACATTGCTGGCATGGCCCTGGATACGCTCAATGAGCAAATCTATGCCAGGGGCTCGGGGGAGCTATATCTCCTGAGTTCCCAATGGTTCCCTGTTTTTGCTTGGGTGCACTGAATATAGGGCCCCCCGTATCATGGGAGTTGTGAACAAGAGATTCCACAATTTTGAGAACTAGCCATCTGTCAAAGCGTGCATGCAGGTCGCGAACTACTATGGAAACTCGGCCAAGCAAGCTCTCGCAGTTCTTCCGCTGCCAGAGAACAAGTTTTATCCAGGCCCGCGGTTTTGAAACCCTAAGCCCGAAACCTTAAACCCCACACCCTAAGTTGCCATCCAGAAAGGTCAGGGCCCAGTTTGGATTTTGCAGTTGGTACCTGTGTTCCACTTCTCTGCTCGTTTCAAACTATGCACCCTAAACATGGGCTTTAGGCGTTCGGGTTTCGGATTTTTAGGTTTTTAGGGTCCCTAAGCACCCTACAGCACCCTTATGCCCGCCTTAAGACTCCACGGCCTGTGAGGCGACAACAAGGTTGTTCATGCAAAGTACTGGCCCATGGACCTGGTTGCCGATGGCGACGCTCCCATCGCCTGCCTGCCACCTCGGCGTGGTTATATCCCAAGCAGGGTTTCGGGGTTTAGATGCCCCAAAGTGGGGAGAAATCTTGCTATTCTAGGAACCCCCTCGGAAACATACACCAGTTTGAAAAACCCCCTGCGCAGTCGGATTCGTCGGATCTCGGAACGCTGGCGCAGTCACTGCTATTGTTACGTCTTTGTATTGTTATGACGACTGCGATTTCTATGACGAGTACTAGCTACTCAAGCTTTGCCCGGGGCCTAGCCAAGCTCAGACTGATTCCTGAAGCTTCCTCTGCTGCACAGGTATGGACACCAGTCTATCGAACACTCCAGTGGATATGGCAACCGGAAATGATGCTCAGACCGCACTCGTAGGGGGTGCTTTGAGGCTAACAGCAGAAGCGAGCACCCTAAACCCCAAACCCCAAACCCTAAACCCTAAGCCCTAAACCCTAAAGCCCAAACCCTAAATCCTAAACCCTAAACCCTCAACTTTGAGGCGAGTACCAGGGAGAGCGTCTTCAGTGGACTCTCCGTCACACGGGCATGGACATCATCCTCCCGAACCCCGAGGGCATCACGAGGTGCAGGGGTAACGCTGTTGTATATACATATACATATATATATATAGATACTTATGTAGATAATATAAATATCTAAATAAAAACACATAAACAAATAAATAAACAATACGTATACACATATGTATATATATATATATATATATACAGATATAGCTATTAATTTTTCTTTTTTGGTTTCTCTGCAGTGGCAGGCCCCATATGCATGAGTAGCTTCCGCAAGCGTTCCATCAACTTGCAAAGGGTTCTGGTCATTTTGTGTTTTCTCGGCATTCGCCTTGAAGCAGTTCTCTGCTTCCCAGGCCAACCGTTCTCGTTTCTAGTCCTCTCGAGGGCCTTAGAAAAGATGACGGAAGGGGCTCGTTCAGTTCGGACGCATGCCCGTTAATGTGGAGAGAGACCCACTGCGAGGTTCATGATCACGGACACATCCAACAACCTCGCAGTGCTGCCCCCGAAGCCTTCGCTCCTGGGTCGGACCGCGCCGTTCAACTGGACCCAGTTCTTCAGAATGCTGCCCCACGCGAAGATCGGTACGAGCAAGGTGAACGGCTGGAACTACCTCAGCACACCGGTGACCACCTCCGACCTGGGCTACCAGCCGTCCTTTGACCTCTGCGCAGAGCTCTGCGCCACCTTCTGGCGCAACGGCACGCAGCGCTGCGTGGCCTTCGACTGGCGCATGTCCAACCACGACTGCGAGTACATGAAGGACCCCGCAGAGCTCACAAGTGACCCCTTCAGAGTGAGAACCAGTGAGATGTACTCTACGGGTAGAACATACTAGATGCATTTAACTGATGCTTCAAAGATGCTCTTTTATATGATACTTCAAAGATGCTCTTTTATATGATACTTCAAAGATGCTGTCCATGGAAGATATAAAGTGAGACATGGGAGCTGCAGGACCAAGGCATGCTCCCGAACCATACAAAGAGCTGTGCCTACTCGAACAGCGGCGCCCAGGAAGCATCCGGGTGTAACCCTAAACCCTAAACCCTAAACCCTAAACCCTAAACCCTAAACCCTAAACCCTAAACCCTAAACCCTAAACCCTAAACCCTAAAAATCTTGCAGCTGAGCGGGTAGCGAAGCTGCTGAGTCGCGAGCCAGAAACCCAAAAAAGCCCTTCCTGATCCCAGGCTTGTCTTGCATGTTCGCCCTGGTGGACTTGACGGATTCCGCGGACAAGTGGACCATGTGGCCCAACCCCTGCTTCACCATGCCAACAGCAGACAGCGACGGCAATGCCTGGATCATTGCCGAATCCGGCTACGCTCCCGCTGGGGGGTGGCCCAGCTACGTGTGGCGCGTCCGCAACTGTGTCATGAAGCAGTGTGAGCTTCCCTCATTCCTAGACCCTAGGCCCTAAGCCCTAAGCCCTAAACCCTACTACTCTCTGCCTTCGCCTTCGGCCTTCCTTCTGTCAGGCGCGAGGGGTACAGCTTTGACAAGGAGCGGACGTTAACGTTCTTTCTGAGAGACGAGCTCCTTGCAGACACCGCGGAGGCACAGGTCTTGCGCGACACGTGGAGGCAGGCGGTTCCGAATGCCCGCGCCTTGCCTCTCTTTTTCTATGTCTTTCTTGCCTTTTTTGGTTTCCTTAGGAAACGGGGGGGGGGGGAGGGGCTTTTAGGGCTAGGTCAGGTTGCACGGCGCGTGATTCAGAAACCGGACCGATTCAGAAACCGCCGCTCAGGAAACCAGGATTCAGGACATCAGCACTCAGGAAACTCCGGTGCTTCAGGAAACTGCGGGTCAAGAAACTAGGCGATTCAGGAAAAGAAGCGGCAGTTCAGGAGACCATGCGATACATGAACTTGATGCTCCCTCTTCCGGCTCTACCATCTACTGCTGACAAAGCAACGGGCGGGGGGTGGGGGTGGGGGAGGTGGGGGGGAATGATAAGGCTCATGCCAAGGGTGCTTTTAGAAAGCTTTGCGATTCCCGAATCGCGTCTCCAGCTTCCGAATCCGAATGTTTAGCTTCCCAAATCCGCACTTCTTAAACTTAGTTTCCCGAATCTGCATTTTCCAGTTTCCCGAATCACGCTTTTTCAGCTTCCGAGCCCGCGCGTTTTCAGCTTCTCCGCCGCTGACTGGTTATGTGCATACCCAGGCTGGTATGGTAGCACCGACCACATGGACTACGTCGTGGGCGACCACGCAAAGAACGGAAACGCCGTCTTCCCAGGCGACCAGCTACCCGTGATCTTCAAGACCCGCGTCCCTTTGTCGTGGTTGGGTAACATTTTACATGCTTAAGGGTACTTACACCCAATAAGGAACGAACAGTTTAGTTTTTTATATCACGACCATCAAGAAACAGGTCCAGGGGGTGGATCCGGATGAGACCAACCCAAAGGCTGTGCCCACGGCCCCAGCTTCCTGCTTCAACAGCGACCAAACCGTGACCACCACGACGCCCACGTCTGGTGGTGGAGGTGGTAACACGGGCAGTTCTACGACCAGCAACCCAAGTAGTGATTCCGGTGGCGTCTCGTCGACCTCAACCACGAGCTCCGAGGGCACGAGCAACCCAGTGCTGGGTGGGACCTCAGAGACGAAGGGTCTGGCAGCTCCAGCTCTGCTGTTCCTGGTTCTCTTCGCCAACGCTTGATGTGTCTCGGAATCTCCAACTTGACTCTGCCAGGGAGGTGGACTTATCTCAGTCTTGCATGACTGGCTCCTGCGCAGAAGCCGCTGTGCAGGGGCGGAATCGGTGAGCTTGGAGACAGCAGCCAATGCTCTCACACAGCCATGAACTGTTTCAATCCGTCCCTGACGCCAGCCTAGCATTTGCGGGAGTGAGGCTCAGTGAATACTCGAAGTACTCGTGTGACCTACAATGCACCTCAGCTGATGCCTTCCCCGCCACCCAGTCAGAGTCCGTGTCATTAATGAGAGCTTCCCTGAGGGACCCAACGTGCGACTTTGAAAGACCTGCACCACGATGCCGTTTCCTTTCGGGGCCTGGCTTCTGCCTGGCCTCAGCCCTCACGAACAGAGATCCCTGAATCACAGTTTTGTTAGGAAGATACTCCTTCTCTCATAGAGTATGGACTTTAAGGCTTTACATAGTCCTCAATGAAGGTGTCGCTTTGCTCAAGCAATTGGTTCCTTGTCTCCGGCCGGTCTCGGAACGGTAGCGGCAGCTGAATTCGAAAGCCTCGGCGCGTACACAGTGCCTTCGCTGGTTCTTTGCATCGCAGATGGTTCAAAAAGTACAATGAGACTCTTATGCTGGCAGAGTTCAACCCCTCAAAAGTTGTCCATATCCGAAAAGGCCCGAGGATTCTTAAACCTGAATTCTTAAACCTGAAGTCTTAAACCTCCGGAAACCCTGAAATCCGAAAACCCCTAAAACCCTTCAACCCCAAATCCCGACGTCTTAAAGCCCTGAAACCCTGAACCTTAAACCCTGACACCCCGCGAAAACCCCTGCACTCACGGTCCTTAATAGGGATTATAAAAGGGGGGGTACTATAATCCCTATTGAGGACTGTTAGTATAAGGGGGGAACATCCCAACCTATGCCCTAAACCCTAAACCCTAAACCCTAAACCCTAAACCCTAAACCCTAAACCCTAAACCCTAAACCCTAAACCCTAAACCCTAAACCCTAAACCCTACAATCTAAACCCTAACCCCAAACCCTAAACCCTAAACCCTACACCTTATACCCTAAACCCTAAACCCTAAGCCCTAAACCCTAAACCCAGAACCCTGAACCCTGAACCCTGAACCCTGAACCGTAAACCCTAAACTTACCCCACGCTGAGGTCCACTTGGCAGGTAATCTCAAGATCTTTGGCCCGGCGCCGAAGGCCCCGGCAGAGGGATCCCCAAATGCCTGCGACCCCTGGGTGTGGTTTAGGGTTTAGGGTTTAGGGTTTAGGGTTCAGGGTTTAGGGTGTAGGGTTTAGGGCGTGCCAAACGGAAGCGCGCTTTGGGAGTGCAGTAGTCTGCAGACCTACCCACCTCAAGACCACCCACTTACAACTCTCAAGGAAGTAAGACCTTCCTTTATTTTTTACGAAGCATCACATGGGTCAGCACTCACGCCTTTTTGGGGACCTCCACAAGGTGCGTGGACCAGGCACAAAGCTGCAGCAGGGTTGGGGCAGCAGCCCTGCCTGCCGAGTGCACAGACGCAAAGCGGAGGCAGGGCCGGAGGGCGGGGCCAGGAAACACATAGCACCAAGACAGTGTGCGGACAGCTTGGTTGGCGCGAAGGGGCAGAGCCAGGCAACACAGGACAAACGGTGAACTGGACGACGAACTCCAGAGGCTTAAGCCTCCCATCAGAATCCAGAAAGTGACTAATGCCATAAAGGATGCAGAAGAAACAGCGGGTCATAGGAGTGGGGCGCTAGTTGTGGACATAGGGACTTGTCGGAGGATCGGCGGGCACGAAGCTACTGTTGGGCAAACGTCTCCATGATGGTCCCTTTGTGGTACGCGGGTGACTTAAATTTGTTTGGCAGCAGGACCCCCCAACAAAGTCTAGGACTAAGGTTCTTTCAGGTTTAAGCAAGCGGGTTTGTTTTTTTGTTTGTGCTGTTGTGTCACATGAGGCCAGCCCCGTCCCGCCACAATAGCAAAAACGAGAATGCACAACAGCAACTACCGCCCCGACATCAAAGAACAGCCCGGGACACTAAAGACCCTAAACCCCAAACCCTAAACTCCAAGGGCCCAAACTCCCAAACTCTAAACACTCAACCCCAAACCCCAAAGACCCTGAACCCTAAACACCAAACGCCCTAAACCCCCGATATACTCTTCAGAACCTCGGGGGGCTAGTGTGAAGCCAGAAGCAATGGGTGAGCACTGGACCCGCTCAGCTAGTAAGCATAACATTCCTAAACCCTCAGCCCTAAAACCTTAGACCATACACCCTAGACCCTAAACTCCTACATAGTCAACTCCTAAACAGCTCGATAAACCCCAAGCCCCAAACTCTAAACTCCTAGACTCGAAACTCCTAAACCCTAACCCCAAACCCCAAACCCTAAACCCTAAACCCTAGACCCTAAACCCTCAACCCTAAACCCTAAACCCTAAACTCCTAAACTCCTAAACTCCTAAACTCCTAAACTCCTAAACTCCTAAACTCCTAAACTCCTAAACTCCTAAACTCCTAAACTCCTAAACTCCTAAACTCCTAAACTCCTAAACTCCTAAACTCCTAAACTCCTAAACCCTAGACCTTCGCAAGGTGCAGTCTTCGGAACCAGCAGTGCCCGAGACCGATGCGGTGATTCGTTTCGCAGGCAGCATCCCAACATGCAGAGAGCCCTTAAGTGTAGAGTTTGGGGCGGGAACCCTAAACCCGAAACCCTAAACCCCCGAACCCCTCCCACCCCCCCTGGGTTTCACCGACTTTCACCTCCACCCTCCGCAGGATGGGGCTTCCCGGGTGCGTCGCTTGTCGCGCGCGTGTCGAAGCCATGGCTGAACATCGAGGATGAGCTGGCGAGGGAGTGCAGGCCATGCCGTGAATGTTCTGAACCCTAAACCCTGAACTTTAAACCCTAAACCCTAAATCCTAAACCCTAAACCCTAAACCCTAAACCTTAGCATTCCGTGCGTCGCGGCTCCGCCTGCTTGGAGGCTTTGCCGTGTGGAGTCGCCGTCTGCCTTGTTGCTGCCACAGTTCGCATCTGTGTCACCGCTGTTGTACCACCGGAGCACCATCTTCCGTAGACATATGATGTGACTCTAAATCATGTCCATGATTTTAGGGTGCCGCATCATATAGGGGACCCAAAACTTGACCCAAATTTAGAGAGCTACCCATATCAGACTGTGTCGCCTCTGCCCATGCTTGAATCGAAGCCTGCCATGCCGGTACTAAGGCTGTGCCCATACACGCGTTCCGGGATGCCTGCAGAGGCTCATGTGAACGCACCTCCCTTAGGGTTTAGGGTTTAGGGTTTAGGGTTTAGGGTTAGCACATGATGCAATATGCCGAGTTTGTGTGTGTGCTCCTGCTCTTTCGTGCCCTGTCTGAAGCAAGGTCACGCTTTTTCTGGCCGGCTCCCCAAACAGAACACATGGGTGTGAGCGTTGGTCCGAAGATGTCTGAAGTGCTGGCTCTTTATGATGTGAGGGTTCCTCTCAATTAGGGCCCCCTCTTTCGTTGCGTTTAGAAAGGCTCAAGGTCCATGAAAGCCTAAACCCTAAACCCTAAACCCCTAAACCCCTAAACCCTAAACCCTAAACCCTAAACCCTAAACCCTAAACCCTAAACCCTAAACCCTAAACCCGTGAAAACAGAACAGCCCCAGAGCGTCGCCGTGAGGTCGATGCGGCACGGATGGACCCAAAGCTCGGTTGCCAGGACGTGCAGTGCAACCTTTCCCTCAGGGTTTAGGGTTTGGGGTTTAGGGTTTAGGGTTTAGGATTTAGGGTTTCGGGTTTAGGGTATTGTATAATGCACTACAATTCCATGGAAGACGTGCCGACTTCTTATTGCGGCCGCAGGACGGAGCGCAGGTGAGCTTTCAGAACTTGACGATCTTCCGTCAGGCCGTGTGCCGCCTACTTTGTGCCACATTGACATGAGTGTCCGTGTTGGCCAACCCGCAGCTCTTGCAATCGCTTAGTTAGGGTTTAGGGTTTAGGGTTTAGGGTTTAGGGTTTAGGGTTTAGGGTTTAGGGTTTAAGATCTTCTGTGAATCGAAGCGGGTGTCGTAGCAACTTCTTCCCCTTTCTTCCTCGCTGATGAGTTTCCTGGGTTTCTCCTCGAGGTGTGAGCCGACTTGACAAAAGGTTCCGGTACTTGATACAAGCTGGACGTACCCCTAAACCCGAAACCCTAAACCCTAAACCCTAAACCCTAAACCCTAAACCCCAAACCCTAAACCCTAAACCCTAAACCCTAAACCCTGAACCCTAAACCCTAAACCCTAAACCCTAAACCTTACGCTTCTGGCCCCATAACTTGGTGAAGTGCTAGGCTTGCTTTGGGCGCAAAGCTCAGGTCGGGCCGTTTTCCGTTCATCCCTCCGACGCGGTGCCGGAGAAGATGATGGTGCGCTTCTCCGTGTACAGCAGCTACTTCAGCCCCTATGCGGCCCGAGCCTCAGAAAAAACACACGCACTTCGAGAGGTCCTGGTTGAGAGTCTCCATGTTCTTGGATTTTGGGTTTTTGTGCCGGTCACGAGGAGCACTACTGCCGCTTCCGGTTGATGTCTGGAGACCTCAGCGGGTCACCGGGGCCATCGACCACATCCCTGGCTGCGGCCTCTCTCAACAAGTTCTGGGCAGAGCTCGCGAGCGCGAACCCTAAACCCTAAACCCTAAACCCTAAACCCTAAACCCTAAACCCTAAACCCTAAACCCTAAACCCTAAACCCTAAACCGAAAACCCTAAACCCTAAACCCCAACGCCTTCCATCTCATGAGGTCCAAGCAGGAAGAGTCAACTCGACGATGTTGTTGTGTCAGCCTGCCACCTTTACTCGGGCCCCCGGACGTCAACCCCGACCTTGTACTAGCTTCATTAATGGACATGTTCATGCACTTCTATCTTGCTTCAACAGGAGGCTAGGTGTTCACATGAGTATAGACATATATTTATACTCTCTCTCGTATGCGGGTTCGGCGAAAGC